ACTATGCCACTGCCCCTTCCCAAACAGCACAAAGAAACCCCCCCGGGGAAAAAGAATCACCCCATGGCTGGTCTTTTGACACCATGAGCAAAAAACCACACCCAAATCCAGAGGCCATCCATTGTGCAACATGAGGAAGGTTCTCCGTTTCTGTAGCAGCAGCGGGTTTCGAAACCGACTACTTGACATTCTTTAGCTGTATGACCCTGGGCAAGTTATCCAACTTCCCTAAACATCATTTTTCCCATCTGTTAAATGGGTCTAGCTAGACTGCACACCTCTCAGGGTTGTTGTAAGGCTTCGATGAGAGGAAATGTCTGTAAGGCAGTTAGCATGGCACGTCACACCCCAAGCTTTCAAAAATATTGGCCACTAATAATCACAGCAGCGGCGGCAATCGGGGAGGGGGTGTTCCTGCCCAGGATTGAACTCAGCGAAATGTACTAAGCTACATTCCAACGTGAAAATCACCTGATATGATCCAGTCCTACACAAAGGAGGTACTCAGACCTAGTGACTGCTTATTGCCTCCTCCACCAGATGGGTAGCCCCATGGGTCTCAGTCATGCCTGTGTCCCGGCCTTTCACACGGAGAGAAACACAGGGGAGATGGTAATAACTCTTGGTTGAACTGCACAGAATTAGCTCAAAATTTGTAAGTACATTTTATCTTTGCTACTGGACTACGAGCTATTTAGGAGTGAGCATCACATCTTGCTCTAGTAAAGATTTATTAAACAAGTGATGGAAAAACACCAAAGTGAGAATCAGATTGGTTAGACCCAGCTCGGTTACTTCCTGGCTGTGCAACCACAGAGAAATCACTTAACGATTCTATGCCTTATTTTTCCCGTCTCCAAGAGAAGTTTGGACCACATGTTTGCCAATGTCCCTTTACTCCCTGAAAGTGGGTTGGGGCCATAAATGCAATAAGGCACCCCAGCCACCCCCACGGGACAGCCACACGTCACCTGCCTCAGCAGGCTCGCTTACTACATTGTGCCCCTCGTTTGCAGTTTCCCGGCACCAGGCTGGGAGCAATTTTGGGCTAGGGTTTCAAACACCCATTTTTGGTGAAAGCAGTTCCTTTGCTAAGTGAAGATGCCCCATCACCCAAGCTAGAGCTCCGGCAGCCAGGAACGCCACGGCAAACCAGGGGCACACTCTGCCCGCTGATCCGCCACTCCCGGACCAGACCCCTCCTGGAGACCTCGCCCCCCGGCTCGGGAGAGATGACCTGGTGCAGGGGAAAAGTGGAACCCTTGATGGTGAGGTGATCACATGACACCTCTCCTCAAAATGTTGTTTGTTTTCGGGGTTTGGGTTTTTTTGGCAATAGTTTGAGCAGCCTGAAGGTCCGGGCAGTTTGGCTCAAAGAAAATGCATGCCGTGTTATGCCACAGGGCTCCACTCAGCAGCCCTGCCCAAAACTGTATCAAAACAAAAGTTGTGCAAGAAACAAAGCCCAAATTCAAGGCTGTAGAAATGCTTTCAGATCCTATCACAATCTGGCTGATTGTCTCGGCTCCTCATGGGCGCACTTTTCTGTTCACCTTGTGTTCCCTAATCAAGCCGAGAAGCCGATTATTTCCCCTACCACTCTGAGTGATACAAGGCTAATTTGTCCAATGCGCCATGTCCCTCTGATGGTATTAAAATCTAAATGAAAGTCCACGTGAGACGAGGAAAAAAAAAGAATCTGCTAAAAGAAAACAACTAAATTGGTGAATTTCACTTTTTGAGGCTTTCTATAGACGATTTTATTCAATTATTACAACAGGTCCATGAAAATGGTACCACTGCCAGCCCATTTTACAGATGAGGAGGCTGAGGTTTCAAAGTAACATAGCCTGCACAAGGTCACAGAGCTGGCGAAAAGTCAGGATTTGAATGCTGGCCAGGGCTCTCAGCCCCTCTGCGAGAGTGCTTCCTTGTCGGATGTGCTCATCTCCGGAACAAGCCACTCGGAGCCCTTGTGTCATTGACACCCTCAGGCAGTGGCCACAAACCACATTTGGGAATCAGAGGGGAGCATGGCTGGACCAGGCCAGGCCGAGTCGGCCACTCTGAGCTCAGGATCCTGCAACTTTCTTCGGAAGTGGCTTTCACAGAACATAGAAGACGGTGTTGTGCAGTGCTCTGTTTGATTCCGAAGGCCCTTCCAGATGTGCAATCAAAAGCCACAACATTTTCATTTTTAAACACTTGTCTGCCTCTGAGCTGCTTTCAACAGGGGGAGGGGGTGTCCCACTGGTTCCACAGCATCTCCCACCTGGGACGCCAGCTACTCTCACAGGCCAAGCAGCTTCAAGCCTCTGCTCCTCTTGAGAGGACGTGGGCACACATGAAAATAAAACAGCACTTCACACGCTACCCGAAGACTGAAAAGGCAGGCCGCAGACAGTGCTCTCTCGGGTTTCTTCAACCGCACCCCAAAAAGCAAGGTGCATCCTTAGAACCAGAAGCAAACTCCAAGTCCACACGTCAGATGAAAATTCCTTGCTGCTCTGGACAGATTCTGAATCACCAAGCGCTGGACAGGCAAGAACGACTTGCTGACCGATTTTTTTGTGTGTTTGTTTTATTTTCTGTCCAGCCAGGCATAGGGAAGTTTCCACCTGACAATTCCTGTTTCTCACTTAAGTTCTTACACCATCTGTGAGCACTGTGCTCAGCAGGGGGAGGACTCAAGGCCAAGGAGGCCTTCCCATCTCCAAACCTCAGTTTTCCCATCTGGTTAATGCAAGGTTCTCACCACATGATTCTGCTAACATTCTTAAGTGTATGTATCAAATAGAAAGCAGTTTGAGGATTTCCAGCTCCTGAGCTGGGATCTGCTACCAGACTCAAAATCTTCACCTAATTTTTTAGTAAAACAAGAGATTTAGCTGAAATTAAGAGCACAATGGGAAACAACCAGGGCTGGACAATAAGAGAGCAGGACTTCAGTCTCCCGGCTGAGAAAGGAGCTTCTCCCGTTCTCAGGGCGCCCCCTAGCGGCCGTCCAACTAAATCCCGACGGAATGTTCAGAATTTCTGCAAATAAAGGGAAAGACACCCACCAAAAGAGAAAGGCAGGCTCCCGTCTCCTGATTGCAATCCCTTTCACTCTAGCCTCGTCTGTGGATCAGACAGCAAGACGAATGCTTGACAGGAAGCCCCAGGGAAACTCAGAAAGGTGTCTCCCATAAGACGAGATCTCATTCTTTCAAACAGCTGGCGGCCGCTCCCCAGCATTCGGGCTTCTGTGTCCTCCAGACACACCCTTACCACTCAACCCCTCACAGGCTCACATCCTCAACCTGCAGCTCCAGCCGCGTCTGTTTTTCATTATTCCGCTTCCCAGCTTCCCAGCGCGATTCTTCAACAGCTATTAAGACAACACGAGCAAGGAGCGAGGCTTACTTCTTGCTTCTTCAACATCCAGCCTGGGGAATATCACCTCAGAAGAAAAGCATGAATGAAGTGCACGTTTCTCAGCCTCTTCTTCCACCAACCTGAAAGTGCGTTCCTCAAAGTACATCTTTACAACCGTCTCTACAGAATTTTCAACCTACAAAAACGTGGCACCTGCCCAGAATGAATTCTGAACCACTTGTTGGCTGTAGGATTTGTTTACTGAAGACGCCTTTCAAAATACAATGCACAATGTCTCGAATTTCCAATTAACCTATCACAGACCCTTTTTTTTTTTTTTTTTTTTTTAAGCTATAGAATACAGTTGGATCAGCCCAAACAGGGAAACTTAGGATGCGGGAGTTATCCAGGTATCCAAATATTTGAGAATTGAGGGGCTAAACTTTCTGACTGGTACCCCCTACCCCCACCAGAACTGTTCCTGTAGAGATCGAAAAGAAAAATACCAACATCAATCTGCCACTTCCCTCGCCAGTTCGTTTCACTTTTTCGCCGTGGTCATTTGTTAAGTGTATAAGCAACTCTGGGCCCCAAAACACCCCCCAAAAGTGCACGCAAGGAGCATCATAATTAGTTCCTGACTTTGGCCCTAAATCGATTAAAATACATCTGATACGCTTCAAATCAAAGAACCATGTTAATTTTCTGCCACACACCACACGAAATCTTTCTGCAACAGTCAGTCACTTTGAACCCAACCCTCTAGCCACAAGCGGTGTGGATTTCAAGGGCCTGTTCTGCAGAAACGAAAACGACAACAAACCAAGTTCAGGACAACACAGAGACCCCAAGGCACTCAAGGAGCTGCAAATGGGGCTGGGACCCTGGCAGGGTTTCAGCTGTCACGAAGAGTGGGGCGGCTGGGCCAGACCCCGCAATTCAGTAGCCCTGAAACCAGGACCTGAAATGCAATGGAGTCGGCTGCAACTCGGCATCTGTGTGGCTACCCATGCCCTGGGCATTTCAGTCCTCCCAGAAGCCGGAGGCAAACTGTCACAACCCGCAGGCATGCAGCAGCCTTTAACTTTTGCTCCCAAACCTTCTCTTTTAAAAACAAACAACAGCAAACAAAACAAAACAAACAAACAGACAAACAAAAAACAGAGGCAGGAGCCCACCCTCCCTTGCAGCTACAGCAGCACCAGGGTGATGGGGAATAGGAGTGGGAGTGGGGGGTCGCATTCATCTACAGGACACAGGACTTGGGGAACCACAGCACCCCGCTGAGGATGTGGGTCTGTTCGGAGTTAGAGCAGCGAGGCATTCCAGGGCTTGGTCTGAATGCGTGCCCGCGAGGGAGACCTCCACGGTCCCAACGTTGCAAAGTGTTTGCAAATCATAAACACTACTTTGCTGCTGGGAGAAAAACCCCCAAAATATGCGCAGACAGGATGTAACAAGTGTTTCGAGAGAGAGAGACACGCCTGAGCCACGGCGAGCTGGGGAGAGTGAGGAGTCTGTCTGGGGGTTCCTGGGAAGCCGCTCTCCGACGAGAGAGTCTCGGTGCCCAAGACCCCCGCCCCGCGCGCCCTGGCTCCGCCGCCGCGTCCGACCCCGCGCCCCCGGGGGCTTCCCGCACTCACCACTCGGCCCGAAAACCTCTCGGTGGCCCTCTTGACTTTGCCGTAGGTGCCTTTGCCCAGGGTCTCCTGCAGTTCGTAGCGGTGCTTCAAGTTGTGCTTGTGGTGATGCCGCTTCACCCCGTGCGGCTTCCTGGGCTCCGGGGCCGCCGCCACCGCGGGGGCTGCGGTTGCCCCCGCCACCGCCTCCGGGGGAGAGCCCGGCGCCCCCGGCCGCAACTCTGGGCCGTCCCCGGCCGCGGGCGCAGCGGCCCCCTCCATGTCCGAACGCGGGGCGAGCCGGGCTGGAGAGGGCAGGACCGGGCACGGCGCTCGCGGTGTCGGGGTCCCCGCCGAGGAAGCCGGGGCGCGCTCAAGGTCGCCCCCGCAGCATCGGGGAGGCGGCCCGATCCCGCTCGGGCTGCGGCTCGGTCACTGGCGGCAGCGGCGACTGCACATCTGGCGCCCCTGGCGCGCACGGTCCGCGGACCGCCCCCCGGCCGCGGCGAGCTGCGGAGCGTCAGGCGAGGTGGCGGCGGTGGCAGGGGAGGCGGTGGTGTTTGCAGGAGGGAGGGGAGAGGGGTGGCTCCGAGCGCAGGAGGGGGAGTGTTATGTGGGGCGCCGCGCCCCCCGACCCCTCCCCGGGAGGACGCGCAGACGGGGCGGGGGCGGGGGCGGGGGCGGTGCGCTCGGCCGGCCCCGGGGGAAGGGAGCGAGGGGCGGTGTGGCCGGGGCTTCCCCACCTCCCCGCCGCCGCCCGGGGCCCGGGGCCACCCGAGCTGGGAGGGGGATGGGTGCGTGTCGCGACTCGCCCTTTGTGCCGCGCCGGGTAGGCCGCAGCGGCGGCCAGGGGGCTTTGTCCTCGCTCGGCCGGGCCGGGGCCCGGGGGCTTCCAAGCCCCAGCGCCCCCTCCTCGGGCTCGCCCGCCGCAGCTACCGCGGGCCCGCTCCCGCCG